CTGTACTTTAAATCCCTTTATCATTTCAAAAGCGGTGAAAAAAATTGAGGCTTAGGTTGAAAACCCCTGCTCAGTTTTATTATTTCAGCAGATTTGAAAAACGAAACGAGGTGGCCAAGTATACTGTACCTGTGAAATCTGATCGGAATGAACCACGACGACGTCACTGTCGTTCTTTAGTTGTGTTTGATACGGCGTTATTTATGGCCTTTGCTCCGAAACTGTTTATAACTTCCAGCGTTGATAAGACAAGTCGCTGTTCTCTATCCCGATCGCGTTTCAATGCCACATTGCTCGCATGCCATAAGCCGACTGGATTATTCCTCGACACATATTTCAAGGCTTTGGTTCTTCCGGTTATTTCTGCTTTTCCTGTTTGTTCGTTTGTTGTTGGTGCAGTGATTTCAATTCGAAAGTGAAGTGAATGGGGGCACAAAATGGAGATTTCGTTCAAAGACTATGAACGAGAGCTTTCTCCATTCAAAACGAGCCGTTGATGGTACGTCGAAAACCCTTCCAATGCTCAAAAGCTAAGTGTTCGGATTATAGTTCTCGAATGGCATGATGCAAAACAATTGTTCAGATTTGAGACTGCCATATGAAAAAAAATCAAAAATCCCGAGAACTTTTTCTTATATCAGCCAATGATTGAAATCCTTCGCCAGCGATTGAAATTTTCCTCCGAGGAGATGACAAAGAAGGGAAAGTCTAATTGAGATTTCACAACATAGACCGTAGGAATGATTCCAGGAAAAATATTTCCGATTTATTCTAGCCGTGTGTGCGTTATATTATATTTTGCGAAATGAATTAAAATCGAGGCGTGAGGCTAAGCAAATAACAATCCGGAATATAAAAACAGACGATTTGCGAAGTAAAAACATACTTTCATCTTTGAACTATAGGAATGTGGCCTCCAGAAAGAAAGAATAAAATTTGGAAGACCCTCTCTCTGCAAAAAATTTGTCAGCAACGATTTTCTCTGTACAACGGTTTTTTTTTGTGGTGTGGTCTCAATTGATTCTCTGCCCATCCCATAGGGTTCTCTATAGCAAAATTATACTTACAACGATTCTTTCATCTCTGAATTTCGCCGTAGAGAGTCAACCTTTATACCGTATTCCAGAAGGTGAATCGAAATGATCACATCACAGCTGATCACATTTTTTTGAAAACTCGAATATTTCTTGAACAGCGGAAGCTATTTGATGGGTACGGTAAAAATAATTCAGTTCAGTTTTGAATGATTACCTTTATTGCTCTTGCTTCAAAAATTTAGCAAGCAAGGAAACTTTAAAAACTTTAAAATGTTGATACACGTGGCCTATCTGCACAATAATCTTGTCTACAAAGATTTTCTTTGAATAATAACTTTTGGTGTGGTCCCATTGGACTCTGACCCCATGATATAGGGGTTCTCCACAAATTAATTCTCCCTTCAACCCATTTCTGATGGGTCCCTTGAGTTTTGTTGTGGAGAGAGGCTGGGTATTGATAATAGTTACTATACAGTTGAATATCCCTTGGTCGATTTTTTTTTTTTGCTGGTCCTTTGAAATTTGACTTGATTAGGGAGGTTTCAAATCACGGAGGTTTCCATTTAGGAACATTTCTATTTAGGGAAACAAGCATTTTTTCAGGAAACATAAAAGAATTTCAGGGAATTGTAAATGGTGATTTTCTGGGCCATAGAAATTATTTTTTAATGAGTTTACTGTTTGCTGAACCTGGAGGCAAGGGTCTATATTTGCGCAATTAGTCTGCCATTTCCTTTTAGAACACATTAAGTTACTTGTTCTATTGCTTTTCTCTTTCATGTATCAAGAAATTAATAACCAAAAGACTAGAAAATTTGACTTACAGAGGTTTGAGAGAAAAATACTTTGAGTTAGGGAGCTTTTTAATACAGTAAATTCTTTTACAAATAATTCAGATGGGGACTTGAACAAAATTTGACTCGGGGAGGTTGGACTTATCAAGGTCTATCTGTACCAGGCTCTCTCACAAGAATATATCTACAGATTCCAGAGATTCATTTTTTTGTGTAATGTAAAGCTCCTAATTTTTTATTTAACTCTCCTCCCTTCTTGATTTCGTAAAGCTATTTGATGATACGATGAGAGCTCGAATTAACGAATACGAAACAGTCATCAAGGCGAATGTCTGATTTCAAACACGAAGGATAATTGCGGTAGAATCGTCTGGTTTTTTTCTTCTCTCTTCCTTTTTCTGCAGGATGAATTCTCCGTCCAGTTCAAATCCCAGTAGTAGTGTCGCGCCGGTGACTCACACTGCTGTCGCGTCGCCATCAGCAGCGACACCAGGCTCAACCACGCCAGCAATAGAAAACTCGACGACGATGACGAGTTCCTCCACGACAGGAGCAACACATCATCCCGACGCATCCAGTGTCAACGTGGGCCCCCCATTGCGACGAATGTCGAACCTGAGTCTCAACGCCCCGATCGACATGCTGCCCGTCGGCAGCCGGGCCAGTGTCGGATCTGACGCCCGGATAGAGGCGCAGGCGTACATCCGGCGCCAGTTGTCCATCATTTCTCTGGAAAACGGCGCCGGTCAGCAGCAGGGCGACTCTGACGAGTCCTGCTGGACGAAATTCGCGAGGGCCTGTTGCGTTTTGCCTCGCGGCTCATCGTGCTTCAAGGCGCCGAATCGCTGCACGCGTCGGCGCAGTTCCAAGGATGACTACCTCGGTAAGTGGTCCAAATGACCGCCAAAACAAAAAAGAAGCCCCAACTGATCGCAACTGAATTGAATGTCGGGATGAATGCTCGCCAACCAGCGTAATCAAAGAGTTCTCTCATCCTATAGTGTGTCCCCCGATAAAATGAAAACCTTTCTGGGTCGAAAGCCCCACACGAGAAAAATCCGAATGGGCCAACATATATATTTAAATAAATGAAATTCTAGTCAAAATGGATGGATTTCAGCAAACTTCAATTTGGAACTTTTTAAATGTAGGTGAACTCTCTCTACAAAGAGACTCAATGCGCCAGAAAAATTCATTGTAGAGAAGAATAATAAAATGGGATGAGAGCAGCGTAATTCATGAGCTTTCTGGTCCTATAATGTGTCCCCCGATAAAATGAAAACCTTTCTGGGTCGAAAGCCCCACACGAGAAAAATCCGCATGGGCCAACATATATATTTAAATAAATGAAATTCTGGTCAAAATGCATGGATTTCAGCAAACTTTAATTCGGAACTTTTTAAATGTAGGTGAACTCTCTCTACAAAGAGACTCAAGGGGCCAGAAAAATTCATTGTAGAGAAGAAGTATAGAATGGGGTGAGAACCTCGTGTGACCAAATACAGGTGGTACCTTGCAAATTGACCCTAATCTGTTACCAAACTAGGGTCAAATTGCAAATCGATTGAGACGCTCCATAAAGTATAGGTACTCCATAAAATGTAAGTATTCAAGAATATAAGTACAAAAACGCAAAAAGGGCCAAAGCAGGTCAAAGCAGGTCAAATTGCGGGGAAAGGGTCAAATTTCAATTCAACCTCCATCTTGTGCTTCAAGTTCAACCATAAAATTCCACCATCGGATCCCGAGATGGTCAAATTGCAAGGTACTAACTGTAAAAATGTGTTGCAGACAAGATTGTTGTATAGACAGAGACGAGATAGTCCACCTCTATTTTAATGGCAAGGAAAAAATTGAGAAAGTGAAGAGAAAAATTGGATTTTCACCTTCTCTAGGCCAAAAAACTTGCAAATTTCAGAAAGCTGCATTGTTGAATTTTAGGATTACTTCAGCTTAATCCTACAATAAAACCATTCAAGTGTGGACCCAAAGTAAAGGATTTTTAGAAATTCCATTACTGTTTGATGTAGATAAAATATCTTTTTCATCATTGTTCCCTTCATGAAACTGCCGTAATGCGCTCAAATTACGGTGGGTGTGGCGATGTTGCGTTGGTTTCATAGTAGAAGTGCTGAGGAAATAAATTCTGAAATCGTCTAATGCCACAACTGAAATAATAAGTGAAGGACAAGTCGGAAACCTGAAGACTTTTCTCCAGACTCTTGCTAGAATTAATTTTCGGCGTCAAGAATTTACAGGAAGGTCTTCAAACTACCGGTTCACACCCGGCCTTGCATTCTGAATGAAGATTAAAAAAGTTATAAAAGAACAGAAGAAATCAACAATTTCTTTTTAGATTTATGAGCACATGCTCATTTCGCCTGTGACAGGCATCCAGGATTTCGTGCAGAAACTTCGAAGTATCGTGTGTAAAGGTATATCGGAGCAAAAATCGCTGCAAAATCTTACGAGCTTCAGAATGCACGAAGACCTATTGACTTCCGGCCTTGTTTTAAATCTTTATACCTGATATATTTTTCGAATTTCCGAATCCAAACCTTCCTTAGTTTGTATCACACAGAGAAAATCGTTCTAATTTTGCCTTATCGCTCCATCGGCACTAAAAAAAAATACTGTATATAGTGCTCGAGAATTTCGAATGGATCGCAGCTCTGAACCAACCTAACCGAAAGAAAAGCCACTCGAAGAGAAATAGGTCTATTCAGTCAATCCGGGTTCTAAGCCACAAAAGAAATAAATAAAGCCATCAATGTACTCAATTTTCCCAGGGCTTGTTTACAAACTTTTAACGAGCAACCTGATCGCTTCCGCAGATGCGAGAGAGAATCTCCATAAATACGAGTACGTGGAATGAAAGGCTGAATAAACTGACGCAGGAGTGCTGGAAAAAAAATTGTGGAAATTATTTGAGAAGACAAAACAAAAAATGGAGGAAAAACAGGAGGGGTTTCACAAAAGTTTCATGAAATCATCTGCAAATTTTCATTTCGGGTGGATAATGTGTGATCTTCTCACGTACCTTTCTGGTATTTAATTCATGAAAATAAATTCATTCGATTCCGTCTGAAATGAGGTTTTAAATTTACGCTTGGGATAAGTTAACTTTCAAATCTTTTTCTGTGCCACGAGGATTTCTACATGTATTAAATTCGTAAGCGCTGATATTTTTCACGGGTCAGTTGTAAAAACCAACAGAACAAACCAAAAAATAAGCGTCACTCTGGGACGCAGTCTTATGAATTCTGCGAACTTCGATTATTTCTTCGTCAAGCGGAAACTAATTTAAGCGGGATTTCCCAAAACAACGGGCATCGAAATAATTAAATTGCTGCTGATAATGAGTCTACCATGTTGCAGGTTTTGAAAACGACAGCTCATGATGCCAACAGCATCAATTTAAGTAAAGGTGTATTTCAAATTTTGTTAAAAATTGAAACCAATCAACAAAAAACTGAGGCGCCTACATTTTAAAAATTCAATCATGTCGCCCTTATATACGCATATATCGAGGTCACCGAAAACAAATTCAACTCCTTCTGCTTTCAAGTGTGGATCCAAATTTTTGAACGAATACAAAATGTGGGGCCATGTTTGGCACTATGTTTCATTCACATTCGGATTTTTGCTGTTGTTGTTGTGCGGATCCGGTGTACTTTTGAGAAACCCCGGAAGGGAATGAAAGCAAAAAAGTAATTGACAAGACACCTTACGCATACGCTTCGAACTTGCCTCGGTATTCGTATTTGGCCAGCACTCCTATTCAGATGCCAGCAGGCGTCACTCGCGCCAAATCCCCCGCGGAGATTTATTGCGGACATAAAACCGCTGCTGCCAATTTGAAAAAGAACAAGGCAAACCAGACAAAAAAACTGCCACTGCATAAACGGGGGATGGAAAAGGTGGACCGGAATGATATCGAGCAAAAATATGTGGCGAATATAAGCGGATCGACTGAAGGAAATATATATATGTATATAGTATATATATAGGCAGAGATAAGCAGCGGGGAGATCCGAAATTGCGAATTGCTTTTGGAGAGAAAATGGCCAACAAGAAGATGGAATACTTATCGAGCGCAATTAACAAAATAGGATGGAGGGAACAGAGCGCGCGGCAGCAGGATTGCCCGAGAGTTGAGCAATTATTTGGCGAAGCCGGATGTGCGTGTTTTGCGTCGTATTTGTGCCAATCACGCGCGGTCAAACACCGGGCCCCGGGTACCGGCTTTTTCCATACTCTTATTTCTCATCATTATTATTGTTTTTTTTTTCCTTTGGGAAAGCCCATTTCCATTCGGCTTCCTCAAATGTATTTCTATTTCGCTTACGTCACTCGATCGTTTTTGAGCACAAGGTATCGTCGTATTTGCAATTGTTATTTGGCTGCCAAGCATGACCGAATTCACGACATCGTGGGCCCCATCCTGATTTTACGCGATAATTCAAAACGAAGAAAAACGGCGTAGGACAAAACACTTGGAAATTATCAACGAAACTCGTACTTGATCCAATGTAGGGTTTAAATGTTGTCTACGAACTTCACGATAAAAAATATTCGAGCTTCGAATGGTGTCTTTCACAGGAATAATGGCCAGTAGCTGTCTTACTGTAAATTTAAAAATACAGGGATATATTTTTACCGCTGTAAAGTTGCAGATATTCTCTTTCATTCCGTCTACCGCAGGAAAGTCAGCATATTTATTAAGCATTACTGTATCTTTATTACGAGACCAAATAATCCTTTAAGTTGATGAATCTCTTGAGAATTGGCTTCGTCTGAATTTTGAGCAGAGTTTTTTGGGCAAAACTTTGGCTGCCAAAAACAGTTTTCTTTGCGACATTCTAAAAATGTGAACATGTTCTGAACATCACAAACGAAATAACAGAAGAGCACACGTATTTATTCGAATACTATTTAATTACAGAGACTTCCATTCTTCACTTAGACTTTTTAGAAGATATTTACAAAGAAAATAAAGGATATTCCTCTTGAGCCCAGGCAGAATTTTTACTCGATGACGACACCAACCCACCATTTTCATCCCGAATCGCCAGAAAAAAACGTGCGCTTGGCACATTTTTAAAGTATTTACGGCCGCAATCCGCAATTTTTTCAACCGAGAGGCTATTTTCAAATGTTGAAAATCCGCATGCGAACGATCCAGCCCATTCTTTTTTTTCTTTGCTTTGATTTTTATTCGCACACAAATCACCACATTTATTCACACTCCAAATTGTCGAACTATCCTCATGAGTGACGAAAAATAAAATGAAGCCGTCTTTCAAAAATTATTTTATATCCGCAATTATTATCCAGAAAATCATCGGCTTCCAAACCAATGAATGTAAGTCAATACTCCAGATTAATGCCTGTCCCGCGAAAATAAATGCGGTGTAACGCAGAATTTCGAAATTTTATCCGGTTGTGCGAATATTTATTTAATATGAATGTTTATTTATTTAAATGTCCACGCCAAGTCTACCCGGCGGTTCTTACTCACACCACTCACGCTCCCTCCTGGGGTTGTACGGTGCTTCGTACTAGGTCTTCTTGGGTGCAGCCAGCAGGTTGGTGCTTACACGTCTACTCACCACGACGTATCATCCGTTCCCATCGATCGCAGAGGACTCAGGACTGACAAAGAGTAAGTACATAAACTCACTGAAAGTAATTCCATTTTCCAACAATCTGTAAGTCCTCCGATATGCGTCCGAAAAAAAAATCAGTCGTGCAGGTACCAGTGTGCAGTCGTGAATTCAGTTTTTGGCGAGAAAAAGAGGCACGTTCAGATTCAAAGGGAAAAAGTAGCATGACATTAAAATTAATCAGCACTTGAGAATTTTCTTAAACTTCACTTGGGGTCTGTATGTAACTGAGTTCGCTATACTCAAATATTTATATGATTTAATTTGTATTTTTACCTGAATGGAAATTTCCACCAAGTGCGCAACAGTGATGACCATGAATAAGGGGTCCAAATTATAAATTGTTCGGCGATTTAAAGTCAGCGTGTTTTTGTCAAAATCCAAAATGCTATTTCAACTTACATTCTCTCACTTCCCCTCAATCTTTCTTGACGAGAACCACAACTTTTCTCTGCTGCACTTGAACTATGCCTCTCTCAAAGAAAAAATTTTAAAATTGTTTATTTTTCATTTTCTAATGCATAAAGGTCGATTTTCCGAAACTTAAAAAAAATAATGTTTACTTATTTGGACTGGAAACTTTAGAAAAGAAGACAGAAAGCTGTAACGTCTCTTCAGATTAAGTTTGTCTTTGCTCACTTTTCGGTCAAAAATGTCCAAAAGAGTTAGGGACTCTGAACGGTACGCTGCGTGGTTTAACATTATCAGGACCAGAACAATGAAATCGAGCAAAATAGTACCCATTACCACGGGAAGCCTGGCATAATTAATTTTTTGCTCAATGGTTTCTTTTTGCTTTTGTTTTGTTCGATTTTTGGCTTAAAATAGTTAACCATGTTCAAAAAATGGACTGCATCGAACTCAACCGAGTGTCAAAAATGTGTGATGATGCGGAAAATTTAGTCGCTGGAAAATTTTTCAAGTTCATGAAAGCTTTCTTGATATACAGTATTCTTGATTTTTTTGAGCGTTTCTTGTCTTGCAGTTATTTGGGTGTTTCTCGTCTTAACCACATTTAATGCGCAGAATTTTAAAGTTTTTAGTAATCAACGTTGAAAGTTATTAGTGGAATTTTCGAGGGATTTTGACTGGATTATCCATGAAGCAATACTTCGCACGACTCTGTTGAAGAAGCTGAAAAACACCCGTTTAGTGCTTAAGCTGTATATGTCGACATGTAAAAACCCAATAAGCATCTGAAGAACCTATTACTTAATAGAGTTCAAGAAATCGACTCCGTTCTTATTTTGCTGCAGAGTTATGCAAAAAAAAATATCGCTCACAATAACTGAGGAAGCTTTGCATTGAAGAGAGTATCCAATCTTACAGACCCAAATGTCTCTGAGCAAAACGTCGCTGTAGCAGCCATTTTGCAAAGTGAGGATCAACAAACATCACAGAATACCTGGTTACTTGATCCAAATTCTCCAGCACTCATGGACTCCCTGGAACAACCGAAGAAACAGAAGCAGCCATTCGACAACGCCTCTTTCGTCCCCGACGACTTGGACGATATCAAGTCAGTTCTCATTAAAAAAAAAGAAGTAAAAGAAAGCTTTTTCAATCTTCTTTGTGGAAAGAGAGATCTTAAATTGAAAGATTAATCCCAGAAAGATTAATTCCAGGATGTGGCTTTTATAGTTCCGAGATTCAACCGATCAGCTTATCCATCATGTCGACCCTGTAACTGTCAAATTAAATAAAGAAGGCTGCTTTATAAATAGCGAGAAGTAACTTTAAGATTTCAAAATCAAACCTCATTGCCAAATTTGTCACCAAGAAAGTAGTATTTAAAAATATGAAGGAATCTTACGACTGTCTAATAAATTTTTATTTTGCGCGCTGAATATGCGAGTTTATCGCAATGACTCTGTCACTTGAAGGATCACAATGAGTTCAATTTTATGCGTGTTTGCAAATTTATCACGGTTTTTCTCGGTGTTCGAAATCAGGTCAATTTCTTCCGCCTCGACGCAAATATCGTTGCCGAACGCAGCCGGGCAAAAAAAGCGCAGCAAGGACGAGAACGCGTTGCGCAAAATCGCAGAAACCTTCGCCGCGAAGCTGACCCGCCTCAAGGAAACCAAGCCTGGAAGCAGCAGAAAAAATGCAAATAACATAAGCAACAACAACAACAACGACAGCATCACCAACACGAACAGCGAGCGTCGCAATCGCGACAGGTCACCCAAAACCGCGGGGTTCTACGACTTTGGATACTCGTCCTCGTCGGCGGCGACGGTGGCGGCTGCGGCGTCGACGCCAAGTGGCGGCGAGCAGGATTCGCTGACGTCGGGTCAACCCGGCGACGAGGAATGCGCAGTGATTCAAGCCGGGTGCGAGGGTCGGTACAGGAGACTGTCGTTCGACAGTCGACCCGTGACCCCGATCGGTGTCACGAGCAAAGAGCGGCGGGCCTCGGTTTCCATCGACGTTCCCGTCGCTATTCTGCGGATGACCCCGATCAATGACCCCCGCTGAAATGCGATTAGATGCGGGAACCAGGAAAAAAAAGCAACCCGGGATTCATTTTTTATTTAAATTTTCCCTAATAACGTGCAGAAGTCAAGGAATCTGTATAAAAGTGAAAAAAATATTTTCTGGTTACCGGATTCACACGAACAGCTAGGACACCATCGAATTCATCAAGCACTTCTATTCGAGTGACGTTGATTTTTTCAAATATTGTCTGCGCGAAAAACACTTTTCTATCTATCTTGGAAAACAGCGCACAAAATTTCGCTGATTTTACTCGTGATACGATACCAATCGCCTGAAACTTTTTATTATAATTCCTATACGCCTAAGAACTCAATACGATTAAAAAAAAGTGCTCCGTTCAATTCTAAGCTAGATTTTACAGTTTTAAAATAAAAATAAAAAATCAAGCCCTCCACCTTGGAACCTGAGACGTCATCGACTGGAGAAAGCAGTATTCAAAATGTAAATGAACTGTTCAAGAAAAAAATAATTATTATTTTAACAAGTAACACTTCTGGATGTTTTTAGGTACCTGCCCTCTTCATTTCAAAACTGACGAAAATGCGTGTATCGAACGTGTATGCACATGGAATTCGCTGGTTTTTACAAAATTCGGACACGATATCTGCAATACTATTTATTTTTACACACGCGGATTATTCAAAATTTAAAACACTGTGAATGCCAAGTGTGGTGAAATCTTCGAATGCGTGATTGGATCTATATCCGGTGCTTTAATTGAATGCCAATTTATTTTTACACCGATTTTTTTGCACGATTGCGAGGGTTACTTTTCGGATGTTCAGAAAGATGATATTACAAGAATGGGAACTGAATTTGCAGGTGTCCCCCACGAGAACTAATCACTATACACGACGGACGAAAATTGTTCGAGTGGTTTTTTGTTTCGTCAGTGGAAAGATTCATCAATATTCCATGCTTGCGTTTCAACAACCTCTTGAAATCTTGATCGAGAATAGACGTCTTGTGTTTTTTTTTTTTCAAAAGCATTTTCATTTCCGGCGCCCTGCTGGCGGTGACCATCTACGTTTTTTAATGACTAAATATTTGCCAGCGTATTTTACTGACTTTGCTTTACTAAAACTTCAAAAGATGCCCATAAATTTGAAAAGGAATGAATACGAAGCTGCCTTTTATACTGTTCAATGAATGCAATGTTTTCTAATGTGCGTGTATCCAGACTGAATCTTCCTCATCGATTTTCGAAAACGCCGGGTCTTATTTGGAATAATACAGTAAATAAAGTACAGCAGAAGCATTCTACGGAAAAGGTTTCGTCTCGAGATACGATGGAAAAACAATTTGCTCTGCTGTCATTAAAAAGTCAATTTTGAATCTCCTCGGACATATCCTTCGAGTTGAAGGCTTTTGGCTCTTGCAAGACACTTTTAAAAATATATTTCCAAAATTTTCCGGATTCAGAACTCCGTAATAAAATAAGATTGGAAAGTCATTCAAATTTTGTCATACTCTGCAAAAACTTTTCATTTCGCCGATGTGCCAAAAATTCGGAAGTTATAAATTTTCAATACTGATGTATAATCAACGGATATCTGCGTCCACAAATGAAATTCCAAGATACAAATACTCTTCCGTCTTCACAACACTTTCAAATGAATAAAGTTTCTTGAAAATTTCTGGGAACCTGATAAACCAAACTGAATAAAGTACAATTAAAATTTATAATATTTAAAATACTCGACGAATGATCACATTAACAAGTTTAGGAGACACATTAGTATGAATGCTCTTACTCGCCAACTGGGGCAAGAAAATTCGATTATGCATCAAACTTAATCTTTTACTTTCTCGGTTTCATCCTAAAAAAAAGAAATAATGTTTGCAATAAATCTTCGGACAACAGCGTAATTTTCTTCTAAACAATATAGAAATAAATTGCTAGTCTGACTGCTCGCAAATCTTCAGCATTGGCGTTCAAAATTGGGACAATCTTCCTGCACGCTTTTCATTGTCTTTCAGTTTCATTTTCAAATATTCTTGTTGATTATTCAAATACTGTACTGTATATATAGAGTTCAAAATTCAGAATCATTAAAAAATTCAATGAACTTCAAGATGAAGGTGTTCCGACCAATTTCTCTAGCTTGAATTGCTCAAAACTCTAATTGGCGAAAATTAACATGTTTTCTTGTCCCCTGCGTGTATCCAATGAAATTTATCCTCAGCAAGGGAAGACCTGGTGAATATCTCGCGATGGAAATATTTTGAAAAAACAATAGTTAGCGAAACTCGATTTGTAAATTTTATAAAATAAAAAACTCTTAGAAGAGCTCTCCAAAAAATTGCAGAAATGAGGTGAGAGCAATTGGATACTTTGCTCACTCAGAGCTTCGAGTCCCGAAAAATGAAACACTCCTTCCACACCGTCCAGAAAAAGAAAAAAAAAGCGGAAACCAACGCTTACAATATCAAGCAAACACCGTAAATGATGCAAGACGGGGCGAAATGCAGGGCAACAAAACACAATCGAACAGCACAAAGACAAACAGAAGGGCGGAAGCCGAAGAAATATTAGAAAGATCCAGGAAACAACAACCAAAGTGTTCAGCAGGGCACAGCGCCAAGGGGAAAATGACTGGGGCAACAAAAGCATAAAATAAAAATAAAATTGAGAGAGAGAAGATGATGAAAGGTTTGATGTATGAACGAGCAGCTCACCTGGCAGGTGGGTCGGCTTCCACCATCAGACCCTGTCACAAGAAGCTGCAATCACTTTTCAATCCCTCCGAATTTCACCTCCTAATCTAGTTTCTCCTAATGTGTAATTCAACAGCCTATGGGACCCCATTCACTCTGTGTTTTTCTACTCTTCCTTCGTCTCCCCGAGTTTCGGTTGTTTAGCACTTATACCGTTGGATCGATGATTACCTCCTCTCTCCTGCGCCTTTTTCATTATACTGTACTTATCAGTCTTTTTGCTCTTTTCTACTCCGAAATTATTCGAAAGGTTCTGTTTCCGGTGCTCTCGATGAGATATTTGTGGTATACTTGCATTTTAAGAACTGCATGGCATTTTGGAAAAAAAAATGGTACCCTGGAGTTTTATTTTTTAAACTCGCGACGAAGAAAATTCTTTTTCCTCATGGCACCCACAAAATCTTGCAACATTTAAAATTTTCCAACTGAAATCCTCATCTACTTGAGCCTCTATATATAGTGCTGACTTTTCGGCGCTTTTCCGGCTCACCCACGAAAATATTGAGAGTTGTTCAAAGAATATTTCCATTTTTCAAAATGTATTCGAGCAACTATACCGCATCTGCCTAATGACAAAATTGTCAGCGGACTGGTGAAATATCCTTCAAAAAAATCCCGTGAATTTATTTCGCTCGCAATGATTAGATTTGGAGGTTTCTTGCGTCCGAAATTCGGAAATTACGTCGTGACTGAAAAAGGAATTATTATTCAAAATCCAATCAAACCTGAAACCATTCTCCGAAGTCTTGATAAAGAAATTATTTTCCCGCGAAAGGATCTAGTACAAGCGATATTTATTTTTTTTTTTGCTTTTTCAACTACAGTGGATTTTTCAGTACTGTACTAGTTTACAGAACAAGATTTTGATTATATCGCCTCCTTTCTGTGGGAAACGAAGGAACCGGACGAGTCAAGAGGAATTTAAAATTTGCGCCTTTCATTCAGGGAAATCTTGGCAGTAAAAGTTCAGAATCTTATGCGTCTCACAGTCGAGAAAAGGTAATGAACGAGTTGAAGGCCTTCAGAACTCGACATGAATGGATCAGAAAAAGAGGGAGTTTGTCTCAAACGACGTCCAATTTCCCAGGATCTCGATGAATTGAGAAGTCCGGTGTCCTTCGCAACAGTAAAATGCCCCTGGTAATTGACCAGGGCCAGTAGACTCGGTGTCATTTAAGCGTACCTAAAATTTGTCCCTTTTTTTCTTTTTCTTTTCCATCTCTCCCTCCTTCTCTGTATGCGTGTATGTCCTCTTCCCTCTATCTGTTCCATGTTCTCTGAGGTTCCCCCCCCTCGCGACGATTCTTTGTTGGTAGTCCTGCAACGATTACGTCGCCAGCTTCTTTTATACATATTTTTAAAGCAAAAAAAAAAAGAGAAAACCTTCCCCCAGGGACTTGTTTGCCGGAGGCGAAGACGAGCCAGGGTTTATTGTTTTCCCCCACAAGCTGATGAGAGCCGAGCCGTGCCTAGAGGTAATGGATCTTTATAGCGACTCGACTCTCGGCGGTGGGTATCATCAATTGATGACCAAGCTGATGGGCCCACGAGGAATCAATCCGCCGAAGCATTGCCAACAACTCAAAATCCGTTTTTAGTGAAGATTATCAGACGAAAAATTAAATAGAAATTGCTGAAAAAGGAACGGAATAAGGTGCGTCGCAATATTTCAATATGCTGAGCGTGTGTTATTGAGTCGGATTCTTAGTTTTGAAAATGTGGCAGAAATAGGTACTTTACAGTAAAAAGCCGGTAATACAAATTGATTTATAACAATTAACAAAATTAATCCACTTGTTTGGAATCGGCGACACAAATGTCAAATCTCATTATTTTCACTCACCATTTTTTGAAGGCATCAAAGGTGAGAATTTTTTGCAGAACCTTCGTGACACCATTCAATGGATAATCAAATTTAGACCGTAAATTAAATGTTGCTGCCACTTTTCTCCAATGCAAAGCTAAGTTGTGGGATTTTAAAATATTGAATTTCAGGGAAGCAAGTTGATTTTATGCATTCTGGTTACTGTGGTGTCTGAAGTAGCTTATTTAAAAATCTACTTTTTTTTTCTCTGGAATAATCAAGGTGCAGAGTTATACATACTTCAATTTTGACTGGGGTTTTAGCTAATTGTTTAAAACTTATCTGAAAGAAGGCCAAATGCCTTGTGCTTTAATGAAGGTTCAATAATTGCCTTATGCTGCAATTTTTATAACTGATATTCTCTTTTTGTTATTAGGAAGGGGGATGAAAGTGTATTCATTTACATCAGTTGTGCAACTTTACATGTTGGGAAGTATTTTCTTTTCTTTTAATATCTATGTACAGCTTATTTCTCTATTTTTCCAATTCTGATGTGATGGAATGTGTTTGGATGAATGTGGGTGGTGAAGGGAGGGGGTCTGGATGTGGGAACATTTTGCTTGAAACTTTTGAATACTGAAAAGCAGAAAATAAAGTTTGCTGACCAATCAATCAACTGGGGCACCATTTCCAGTATTGGAGAAAAAGTTTGGTAGCCAATCTATTTTCAGCTAAACAGTCAAATAGTCTCTCTCTCTCGAATATTTCAAATACGGTAGTTAGCTCTCGTCAGCAGCTTGCTGAATTTGCATATACTCGTTTCCTCTCTCAAAGGACAATGAAATGGATTTCACGAAAATATCCAGTGTGTTGGATGGAGAAGGGACTTTAATTAATGACAGATTCGTCCCACTTCACCCGTGTGTGCCTGCGCATGCAAGCTCGGAAAATGCGAGGGTTCCAGTGCAAGTTTCACACCTGCTGCGAATCCGCGCTGAAGGCTATATAGTGTAGAGTACTTCACAGCTGCGTGTCCTCCTTTGCTCGGCATTGTAGAGCGAAAAATGCGAGGGGGGGGGGGGGTTAGTTTAAAATAAACGGAAGCATAAAATTTTAGCGTTCCCCTTGGCTTGTTTGTTTTGACATAGCTCTCAGGTCGATCAGACGGTTTAGGGTTTATTAATGCAGGAATGAACTCACCGCGGGACGCGCATTTTTTTCCCCCATTCGGGTTAACTGGATGCCCAACATCTCGGAAGGCAATTTTGGATTTCAGTGATAGTTGAGTGTGGAAAGACACGCAAAAAAAAAAAATATGTGACGACTTCTTCACGAGGGAATGACCAGAGTGTCGCATGATTCACAATTTATAACTGTTTCATCGTGCGAGAAAAGCGTATCGGATTTCAATTTTAATGCGGGAAAAATTATCTAATTTATTAAATCCGCAGCTTCTTGAACGAA